GGACCACAAAATGACAATTTGATAAATTCCAATTTCAGTGATAACAACTGAATTGATTGAAACGAATGAATCTGTTAATAATTCACTTGAATTGAATGTTTAATCTAGCATTGGATAATGAATTTGGAATAAAAAGTGCCTTTGAAATATTAACAATTGTTTAATATTGAAAATGTAATTTTCTAAAATTTTGCAGAGGAATGGACATATTTTTGATTTTGGAGTAAATGAAAATAGGAGTAGGGCAATTTGCGGGGTATTATGAGTCGGGATTTTCAGATTCTGTACGGTGATGAGAACGGTTGGAAACTAATCACTCTCGACGATACCAAACACGGAGGACTAGCTTCGCCTCTCTGTCAAGCCATTCTTCGTTCTCCACAATTTCGAATGATCGTGATGGGTACTATTATCGCAAATGGTCTGACAACTGCCACTATGAACTTCAAACACGACGAAAGACCCCGAAATACTTACTACGATAACTATTACTACGCTGAAATAGCCTTCACGATTTTTCTGGACCTTGAGACACTTTTCAAGATCTGGTGTCTGGGTTTCAAGAGTTACTTCAAACATTCTATTCACAAATTCGAGCTTCTTCTTGCCATCGGCACTACTATTCATATTCTACCGTTTTTTTACATGACTGCATTCACGTATTTTCAGGTGAATATTAATATGTAACAGATATCTATGTTTATAATTGCATTGCATTATCAATGATAATGGACTAATGAATATATGATTATTATTAAAGGTGTTGAGAGTTGTGAGACTCATAAAAGCGTCGCCCATGTTGGAGGACTTCGTTTACAAGATTTTCGGACCCGGAAAAAAACTCGGTAGTCTTATTATTTTCACCATGTGTTTACTGGTCGTTACTTCAAGCATATCTATGCAACTATTCTGTTTTCTCTGTGATTTTACCAAATTTGAGACATTTCCAGAGGTGAGTTATCACATTTTTTTGTACTATTTCGGAGGAATATTTTTTTATTAATTATTACTTAATATGTAAGCATTGGTGAGCCCTAATCGTTGCTATTAATAACAATTTATCTTATTTATCATTTTTTTTATTCCTCAGTTTTTTCAAAATCCATTTTTTTACCATAACTGATGAATAAATGTTTTCAAACATTTCAATAATGGTTTAAAAAACCTGCTTCAATATCTTATTGGCGTAGTTGAAAAATGAAAATAGCAATAACCGTTGTATTGATATTGAGGAAAGATTATTAAAAATTAGTACTTTGGAAATATTTGAATTCTGGGTCTGTCACGAAATATATCATGCGCGACAGTATCGGCCTTTCTCTCACTCTCTCCATATCAACTTGGCCGATACGCTATCGCGTATCTTGATTCTGCTGCAATTGAATTTGATGAGGATTTTGAATATTAATTTCAGTGATATACTGTTGAAATTAAGAGATCATTATATCATTATAGTTATTTATCTTAATATCATTTTTCGAATGATTGTTCTTAATTTCGATTTTTTCATTGATTTTTTGAAAGTAACTTCCTACTTATTAATTACTGCTAACTACCTACTAACTAACTAATTCCTAATTGTTTCATTTATTCATCTTTTTCGTATCTAGTATCTTTAAATTTCATTCGATTATATGTGAAATAAATCTATTTTTCAATAAAATTTTGTCGGAATCTAGTAATTTATTAACAAAAATAGCTACATATTTTCCAACTATCTATTTGAGAAACAACTCGGAAGCAACAATAAGGGAATCCTCAAATTTTTCAACAATTTTCGATTGAAAAAAATTAGATAAATAAAAAATAGTCACGAGTCTGACATGAATTTGTTTATTCCCCAGGCATTCATGTCTATGTTTCAAATCTTGACTCAAGAAGCTTGGGTCGAAGTTATGGACGAAACGATGGTCCGAACTCATCACTTCGTAGCGCCTGTCGTCGCCATTTATTTCATTGGCTACCATCTCTTCGTCACACTGGTGATTAAAAAAAAAAAGTCATCCATCTTGCCAAAAAAATCAATAACTTCATTAATAATTGAATGAAAACTCTTTTCCAGATTGTGTTAAGTCTTTTCGTGGCTGTGATTCTCGACAACTTGGAACTGGACGAGGACATAAAAAAGGCAAAACAACGAATTATCCGCGAACAAAGTGCTGACATCAAAGAAACACTACCTTTTAGATTACAAATATTCGAACAATTTGCGGCGAGCCCACAGATGACTTGTCTTCACAAAGTTCCTTCGGACTTCAATCTACCAAAAGTTCGTGAAAGTTTTATGCGACAATTTGTCCTGGACGTTGAAGACGAGGAGAACGAGGTTGCTAAGAGGATCAACGAGACATTTGACTCGAAAATGGTTTACAGAAAACAGAGGCCAGTAAAGATTCTGAGTAATCCGCCGAAAGTTAGAAATGTTGTAGTTAGTTTGAAGAAAGCGGCTGTTCTCTACATAATTAAGTAAGCTTTATGTAAAGAAAGATTGCAATTTCGTAGGAAAAATTGATAATGTTTAGTATAATCTGACCAAACCATTGTAGATGCTCTTCAATGGAGTGTGTAGCTTTCTATGAAGAGTTTTTTTGAGGGACAAATAGGTTGGGAGGTATAATTTTTAATACACCACTGTTTGCGTTATCCAGCACCACGACGAGAACGTGGCAGTGTTGTCGAGCCGAAAGTCAACAGTGAGACCGCAAAATTCGAATATCTCTGATTAATTATTTGTCGTGGGGTTATACTAGACATTATTCTAATAATTGGATGGCCACGACACATTGATTTGATCCTGATAAAAAAAAAAATAATGGTTTCAGTGACTCGAATAATCAGAGACTACTCTTGGGGGATTCAGCAATGATTCCAGTACCAGGAAAAGGTCTTTTCAAACCCCAAGGTACAGTCAGCAGTGCGAAACAACTCCGCATAGACCAGAAAAAATCAATTCGTAGAAGTGTTAGAAGTGGTTCAATAAAACTAAAACAAACGTATGAGCATTTAGTTGAGAATGGAGACATCGGAGCGATAAATAGGGTGTCGTCATCGAGAACTGGGAAGGAAGAATGGGATATGAAATTGCTACAAGCTAAGAAACAACAGGCAGAGATGAGGAGAAGTCAGCGAGAGGATGATTTGAGGGAGAATCATCCTTACTTCGATACTCCTCTCTTTATTGTACCACGAGAGGGTAAATTTCGTAAAATTTGTCAGCTACTTGTTTATGCTAGATACGATGCGAGACTCAAGGATCCGCTGACAGGAAAGGAACGGAAGGTTCAGTATAAAAGTCTTCAGTGAGTAAGATAAAACTAATGAAAAGTCGGCATTTTTTTTTTACAACTTAAGAAATCTTCTCTGATTCTTATCGTTCTAGTAATTTTCTCGGGCTAGTTACATATTTAGACTGGGTCATGATATGCGCCACAACACTATCCTGCGTTTCTATGATGTTTGAAACCCCAAAGTACAGAGTTATGGAGATACCGGCGCTACAAATCGCTGAATACAGTTTTGTTATATTTATGAGCATCGAATTGGCTTTAAAAATCCTAGCTGATGGACTTTTCTTCACTCCCAAGGCTTACATCAAGGATGTCGCATCTGTTCTTGATGTTTTTATTTACATAGTAAGTTCTTAAGCTTCAAACCTTGAAACTGCATTTATCAACTCAAGTATTTTGAGAGATTCATGATTTATTGATTATTAAAGATTTATTGCCCATATCTTCTCATTGT